TTTTCTGCCAGCAGACAGCTCACACTCAGAAGAATCTTGTGGCCATTGTGAAGTCTATCAAAAGTGCCTCCCACAACTACATCAGAGAAACTCTGCAATGGCTCATTTGTTTTCTCAGTCTCCTCTTGTGGGGACAGTTCTCCATTATCATCTTGTAAATCATAGTCAGGATACAGTAAAACAGACCTCAGTTTAGGGCAACAGCTGTAACAACTGATGGCATAACGTTCTAGGCGTTGTTTGATAGGATTTGACTGCACTCCATCAGCACTTTCATAGTCTGTGAGCACCACCTCAGGTGGCTGGGAAAGGTTCTGAACAGATCCTAGCACTGGAGGGTTAGCTCCTTGATTGAGAAGGTTGGTGAGCAATATCCGGACATCAAGGTGACGATGGATGTCAGCATCAGCGTACAGCTTGCTGATAAGGTTGTGTACTTCAGATGTGGCAGGAACATAGGCAAAACGGGGTTGTGTAGCACCCGAAAAGCTGAGTCCTGGCTGCAGTTGAATATATAGGGTTTCTTGTACCAGCCTGGCAGCTGAAGCAAGAATGGGCATCAAGCGTAGAGAAAGTGCCGACAGTGGAGATGTCAGAACAAGTAGACCAGAACGGAAAATCGACATGCTGTCCGGGAGGACCATTCAGAAAGATATATGTAAAAAAAAAAAAAGAAAGAAAGAAAGAAAAGATAAGTCAAGATAAATCAAAGTAGCTTTAACCTACAGAAAAAATAATGACCAAAGATTTTATGTATTAGCATCTAGTTTAAAATAATAAACCTCATTGTAAACTCCAGAAAAAAATTCCCCTTTACTGTAAAGTAGAAACTATCTATTTAAAATCCTTAACTGACTGTATTATACACTAGCATTGGACAAGATATTATCTTTCAGCCTAACCTTGGTAAGATTGCTATGAAACCACAGTATGTTTGAACATGCTGGAAGAAGTGTAACAATAGAGAAAGTGTCCATAAACAGCAGTGCTGCCTTTTTGCTTATTTTTAACTTCTGTTTGACATTAGTTAAAATGCAATTAAGCATATTAATATGCAATTAAGCAAATGAATAATAGTAAGATTTCTTTATATCTTTCCATTTTTTTAACTCTTAGTGGGCTACAACAGAGAACGATGAAGATAACAATAGTAATTGCAAAGTAATCACCTCTTGCTTTCCAGTGCCCTCAAATCTCCCATCTTTAAAAGATAAATGTCACCCTAACAGGTTGATTACATCATATATTTATTTTTAACTACCCAGCCCCACCCCTCAATCAACCCAATGGTCATCTCTCTGGAAATAAAACCCACTTATTTACATTTACATCACTACATGATCTATTTTTTTAGCTCAATAGCTCCCCTCCTCTTCTTGATATTTCATTTCATTTAATTGTGTACAAAAGTTAAAAATATAAAATTGCTACAGTATAAATATCAATAGAACTGGCTACTGAAAATAAACTATTCAGATATAATAAAGTGGAACATCCCCCATTAGTATAGCTAATGGCAGTGGCTTCCAAGTGCATACGTGTCACGAATGTGTGCAATTTAATTTTGCATACAGCCTATGTGTACATTTGTATTTCTTGGGGGAGAAAAGACTTCCAACACTATTTGAAGATCGCTAGGTCTACTTTGGATTTCCAAAAGCAAACATGTACTTCTTCTTCTTCTTCTTGTTAGTCCCAAAGTCCTGTCTGACCCATCGCAACCCCATGAACAACTTTTCCTTCCTGTCCTCTACCATCCCCACCGGGAGACCATTGAAGCTCACATGTACTTCTAGTAATAAAATTAATACTGCATAGGGATTGTATTTTTACTTTATTAATTTTTAATAAAATTAATACTGCATAGGGATTGCATTTTTACTTTTGTTGTATTTCTACATTTGTTACTTTTTTGAGCTGCTCTTTAAGAAGTCAAACAATAAATAAATGAGAGGGGGTGGGGGAAAGAAAGAGAGATTCTCCTTCAAGCCTTTATTCGAAATTAGCTGGGCGTTCTGCAGCTGTAAAAAAAACCAAAGATACAGAAAATTCCAAGGCTGTTGGGTTTATTAGAGAGCAGGGGACGTCGCTCTCGCCCTAGACATAACCCACTTTCTCTAGCCTCCCATCTACTCCTGTTATATCACCGTAGCTCCTGTTACTTTGCATAGTCGCATTCTGCTTGCTTTTTTTTTTTTTTTTTTGAAAAGAAACGGGCCTGTTTGGGGGGGGGGGGGGGGGGGAGGAAAAAGAGAGGTGGGAGAATAAGCCACCTTTTGCAGACCTCCCGTAAGTAAGGAAAACCTGCGACAAACTGGCCATTTAAACCCAGGTTCCCAAGTCGCTGGGGAAGAAGAAGAAGACGACGCCAAATGATGGCATTCCTCGCTGCCCTGCAATAACCAGCCCCCACCACCACCACCACCACCACGAGAGACCGGGAGCGTGTCTTCGCCCCCACCTTCCAAGGAGCAGCAGCCCCCCCCCCCGCGCCCCCCCCCAAGGAAAGGACACCTCCCCGCTTAACTCACCTGATAGGCAACCTCAGCCAAGTCAACACCCGACCCGGAAGTGTCTCTGCACAAACTGGAAGCGATCCTCGTGGCTAGGAGGAAAATATTTATAGAGTGGAAAGTTAAACACAGGGTGGTGTGTGTGTGTGTGGGGGGGGGGTATTTAAAGGACGAGGATCCCTTTGCCTCGTATAGATGAAGTTGACGGAAGAAGAAGTGTGTGTGTGTGTGTGTGTGTGTGTGTGTGTGTGTGTATGTTGCTTGCGCTTGGACCCTGTGGGCTAGTCTAAATGAGGGGTCTCCAACCTTGGCTGCTTTAAGCCTGGAGGACTTTAGCTCCCAGAATTCTGGAAGTTGAATTTGGAAGCCCCCCCAAATTCCGAACCTAGTTCCCGTTGTAGAACTGCAGGAAAAAAAAACAGTTGCTACCCACCTGCCTTCCATTGAGGACCCGTATACTGCACGAGTCAAAAAGAGGGTTGTGAAAATATTTAGGATATAATTTTTTTATTGGCCAAGTGTGATAGGACCACACAAGGAATTTGTCTTTGGTGCCTATACTCTCAGTGTAGATAAAAAGAAAAGATAACATTTGTCAAGAATCATAAGGAGCAACACTTAATGATAGGCATAGGGTACAAACCAGGGGTGAAATCCAGCAGGTTCTGGAGAACCGGTAGCAGAAATTTTGAGCAGTTCGGAGAACCGGTAGCAAAAAAATTTGAGTAGTTAGGAGAGGCAGCAAATAGACCAACATTGTGGGGTGGGAATGGGGATTTTGCAGTATCCTCCCTGGAGTGGGGTGGGAATGGGGATTTTGCAATATCCTTTCCCCAGGAGTGGGGAGAGAATGGAGATTTTGCAGTATCCTTCCCCTGCCACGCCCACCAAGCCACACCCACAGAACCGGCAGTAAAAAAATTTGGATTTCACCACTGGTACAAACCCTTCGCATCCTGGACATCAACTGTTTTGACTCCTACCCTCAAAACGACGCTATAGAGCACTGCACACCATAACAACTAGACACAAGAACATTTTTTTTCCAGAACACCATCACTCTGTTAAGCAAATAATTCCCTCAACACTGTCAAACTAGTTATTAAGTCTGCATTACTATTAATCTTCTCATCGTTCCCATCATCCATCTCCTCCCACTTATGACTGTATGACTGTAATCTTGTCGCTGGTATCCTTGCAATTTATATTGACTGTTTCCTAATATGATTTGATTGCTTATTTGTTCCCTGGGACTATCATTAAGTGTTGTACCTTATGATTCTTGACGAATGTATCTTTTCTTTTTATGTACAGAGCATATGCACCAAGACAAATTCCTTGTGTGTCCAATCATACTTGGCCAATAAAGAATTCTATTCTATTCTATTGTTAACGCACATAACTATGTTTTAACAAGGGGGTCATAGAGGAAACCCTCTTCCTTGTATGCCTTTGCAGTTGTGTCCATTCCTGGATTGGAATCTGTTCATCATGGTCAATCACGCCTTGGCCCCCTCTCCCGTGACCACAATATTGCCAGGTGCTCTATATTGCTCGGCCACCCTTGAAAACCATCCAGAACCAGTCTTTCTCAATCTTAGCCACTTGAAGATGTGTGGGACTTCATTTCCCAGAATTCCTTGGTGAGCGAGCTAAGGGGGAGGATCAGGAGTCCCCCTTGAGGATCTTTGGTTGTGTGCTTGGTTGTCATTTTACATTTATTATTATAAGTTTTTTTTTCTTATTGTTTGTTTGTGCTGTATGCTTTCCAGTCACACATTCCATCCTGGACAGCCTTATACTGTAAATTTTTAATAAATAAATGTTGCTATATGTAGTTATCACTATAGCAACTCCTGAACATGTCATTTTAATCTGAAACTAATTTTATAGTTTCCATTGAAACCCATTTTTGGCACTTTTTAGAGTGCCAAAAAGAGCATTTAAGTAACTAAGAATATTGTGGGTGTTTAAAGGATCTAATTTATCTGTAATAAATATCTATCTATTGGCTCACTAAAAAAAGTGAGATTCTACAATCTGCTAGGGCTGTGCATAATTGCTCTTTGAGAGCTTCCTAATGTTAATGTAGGCCTATCTATCTGAATTCAACTGTATTGTTTCTTGTCAAAACTAGATAGGCTTTATCCTCGCTTTTCTTCTTTAACTTGTCAGTTAGAAAAAGTTCTAATCCCATTCCCTTTTCTCCCTAGTAGTTTTTCTGGGAAAAACTATAGGTTAAACATAAGGGGAAAATCACAACTGTATTAATTGAAGAACCACTACGAAATATTGCTTTAAGAAGAAAATTTACTTATACGTTGTCTGTTTTGTAAATGTTTCTTATATGTGTTTTATATGTGTTTTAATAAAGTTTATAAATTTTAAATAAATAAGAAAAAGTTCTAATCCGTAAGACTTTTATACTCAGTCTTGATATCTGTAGTCCCCAGAAGAAATTATACTTAGTCCAAAGAACTCAGTTCCTTATATTCAAACCAAATGTTTTATTTATTACAGATGTCCCTTGTTACCCATCTGACAAGATACTTAAGGTAACTAGCCATAAAATAAAAGAATACAATTAAATGCAAAACAAAATTAGTTGTTTGGAATTCTCTGGTCACTTCTTAGCCTTAAAAACAGTATTTATCACACTTCTACATTCAGAAGAACATTGTGTCCTCCATACTTCATATATTTGCTAGAAGGTATTGATGCTATGACTTTTTGCATCTTATTTTTAGTGGTGGCAGATACCATGGATACTTTATTACAGTTACCTATATGAAAATGATTTATTTCCAGCTTTGCCTCGTTATTCAAACAACTTGGGAGTCTCCCTTAAGGAAGCTTGCAGGTCTTTGGAAGCTTTTAGCAAATAAACAGGTGCTAGGGGAAAGCTGTCCCAGAGTTCTCTATTATTGAAGCAAATTTGGCTATATATGCAGATGAAGACAGAAAACAGTACTTATCCAAAAATCATTTTTAAAAGCATTGTAAATTGTAAATTACAAGACTGTACTTATATAGGAAACTAACTATTAAAGAAGAGACTTAAACAATGTATATTCTAATTACTAATGCTCTTCAGGATTTCTGACAAATTCATACTTGAAATACTAGAGATTGATATGAGAAATCTAGCGTGAAATGACTAAGCTATAGCCCTTTTCCAAAATCTTCTTGGATTAAGATGCTGATTATGCTTATTTAAAATAGATACATTCCTAATATACCTAGGATTTTTGTTGCTTTGTTTTGTTCTAAAATCCTACATTTTTGCTATGTATTCTATGTGGACAGCAATTTGAAGCCAGAAAAATGTTTTAAGATTCATTGTTATGTGTCTGCAGCCCCTTAAACCAATTATTTCTTTTTCTGAAATTGCACTTACAGAAGGACAGCTAAGTGATTACAGAAAAAGCTGTATTACATCTTTTTGCCATCAAATAGAAGGGTTCCAGATATATATATTACTATATCCTTTGAAATACACCAAGTCTTCGTTTTGCCTCTCTTTGACCACAAGAGGGCACTCCTGTACAATAATAAAACTCAGAAATCACTAGGTTAGACTTTATGATGTACCTATATGAATCTGGGTGAGTGTAAATATAATTTTGTAATTCAAGAAGAGCAAAGCACTGTAAAAGATTATGACCAGAAGAAAATAATAAAACACATGGGCTACGAAGAAGGTTTGAGGAAATTGTCTTAACTAGATGAATTAATCTTTTCCATTAGATTAATTAGACCATGTAATTATCACATGCTCCATAATGAAAAGATAATGGGAACTGTGGATCTATATACCTGGAAGGTAACTAGTGGGAACAGCTTGGGTACTCTCCCTAAAGTTATTTCCAAGTCCATGAAGAGGAAAACTTTGGTTCATCTCAAAGCCAATCCAATGTTTGTGAAATGAGAACTTCAGTTGAATCCCTTCCAAGCTGTTCTTACTAACTTTGGAAGGGCACCCTATAAACTAGCATATAAATGATCAGCAGGCACTGGAATCAGTTATGCATCTTTTCTTTTGTTATTATAGCTATAGAGGAAAGAGAAAAACATATTTCTCTTTTAGTTTGGCGATTCTTCAACAAACTAATAAGATTTTCAACAAAACTAATATGGCTTTGCCTATAGAGGTTCTGCGTAAATCAAGAGCAATTTCCTTTATAGGCACTTTCTCAGAGGAGCAAAATTACACGGGTATCAATTGCATAGAATGATTTACAGACAGAAAGATGGCTGAGTAGGGATATAGTTGTCCTGAGGAGCCAAACATGGCTTTGTGACCATCTGTACAAATAGCACTCATTTCTGCTAATACAGTCAAACACACTTTTGAACTTAATTGGAGCCATGCTCCAATTATTTGCATAACAAAGGCAGGTACCTCTAAGATGGCTCAGCAATTAAAGACACTGAGCTTGTCAGCTGGAAAGCTCACAGCCCAGGTTCGAGACCCAAGTGTCATGCGACAGGGTGAGCTTTCATTACATGCTCCAGCTCCTGGTCACCTAGCAGTCCAAAAACACACAAATGCAAGTAGATAAATAAGTACCACTTCAGTGGTAAAGTAATGGCATTCCATGTTCCTTTCACATATAGTCATGCTGGCCACATAACCACAGAAATATCTTTGGACAATGCTGGTTCCCTTGACTAAGAAACGAGGCTTAAGTACCACCTCCTAGAGTCTGACATGATGGGGAAAACCTTTATATTTACTCTTAAGATCATATGCTGAATTTTTGCCAATGATTACATTCAGTTGCTACCCATTAGAAGTATTACTTCCACGATTTTGCACATAGCCTGATGTATCTCTTCTCCTAAAAGTTGAAAACTAGGCCTTTTCTCTCTTATAGTTCCAGTTCTATTTGTGGATGTTGGGACATCCGTTAAAATAATCAGAGTGAGCTTTGACTCGGTAAACCAATACAAGACAAGTACAAAGCTGCAATCAATAATCCAAAAAGTTATACCGAGAACAGAGTGTCTCCATTACACTGCCATCAAGTGATTGTACTTCATGGCAGGGGGTAATATTTAAGATATATCTTTGTAGCTATGTCTAGCATATTGCCTATAGGTTTTGATGGATACTGTTTTCCATTGTAGATAAATCTCCTTTCTACTTTGATGACAGCTTGGTTAAATTGATCCTGGTGAAAAGGTGTTCCAGAATTGAGGCATTTCACCAAGGTGATAATGAAAAGCTTCCAACGCATCCTGTAATAGTCCAGCATCAGCCCTGCAAGCTGTTTATTGGCATAGTCCAAAATATTGCCATCAGGTCCCCAGAGAGTTAGCTGGTTGCGTGCATTGAAGTCATACAATTGTTCCTCTTTTTTGCTGGTGGCCATTTTGTGGGCAGCTTCCAGCCATCCTCCCAGCAAAAAACGCCTGTCACTGGAGAGAAGAGCATCCAGTTCTGGAAGAAGGTCATAGATTAGAACTCCACCAGTAATCAGGAGTTGTGACAACACACGTTTCTGAAAAGCCTGTTTGATTTCCAAATAGTAATCACTCACTCGCTGCTGCAGAACCTGACGTACCACATCCACGAGGTCATAGCAGAAGGTGCTGCTGTTGCCCAGTTCACCAGAAGTATTCTGAAACAGCTGCCAGGCTTCGTAGACATCACTCTTATTATACCAGACCTCTGTGTTCATCCGAAAAGAAGGACGGCGAACAAGGGGGCTGTGGTTGTGATTTACACAAGGCCCTGAACAATTGTAGACACTCTGGAATAGCAGTTGCCAGGCCTTTATTACTTGCATGTTTTTGACACCATAGCGCTCTGTACTGTAGGTGGCAACCCACTGCTGTAGATTTACTGGCTCCTTGAGCCAACCTAAATCTGTTATGAGTTCGTATATCACATCATTTTGTTCAATACCTTCAGGGGTGAGGCCAATGCCAATCATAGTAGAGTTGAGAAAACGTCTGGCTTCAAAAGGACCTTGGTTGATGCTCTCCACCATGCCAAAAAGTCCATGGTTCCCACCAAAGTTGTGAAGCATACACCAAATGAAAGGCTGCCCATAGAAGGACTCAGTCCAGAGGTAGACAGGCTTAGATTCAGCGAAGAGGTCCAGCACCAGCATCCTGCCTATAGGTACACCTTGAAGAAGGGCTTTAACTTGGGCAGGTTGCCAAAAGTCTCTCTGGTGTTGGAAAAGCCAACCTTGCATCAGCCATATGGCATGGGGGTCAACTATGAGGATAGGCACAGTCCAAAGAAGGGAAAAAAACACATTCAGAACCAATTACTTTTATTCGGTACTCTATTTCTTATTCTGTTTATTTCTTGATAATAATATAGGTTCAGTTTCTTTCTGTTTACAAACCTGTAATATTGTTGGCATACTATATACTTTTCATTTATCTGCCTAAATTTATTTGTATTTTGTGCCCTAGATTTCTCTTGGAAGAAAATGTTTCTGGTTCTCAGTTTTTTTTGTTACAGATCCGGCAATCACAGAAATATAATTAATCATAACCTGAAAACCTATAGCTGTAAATCTACTAGGTATAAAAATAATATGCGAATTAGTGTGGTGCAATGGATAGATTGAAGCTGAGGAAGCCTTGATTGAAATTTCTATTCAGCCAGATTACTTGGACAAATCATTATCTCTTGGTTATCTTTCTGATATAGATATTAACAAGAATAAAAATATGAAATGCTATGACTACCCTGAATTCCATGACAGAAGAACAGGATTTAATTATATATATATTAAAAATACCCCAAATAAACCCTAAATTACTTTGATCAGAGTTGGTATGTTTTTTCCTGCTGTGCTTCATCTCTAACTTAAAATTATGCAGAATAATATTTCTGAGTAACATGTAAACATATGAAGATACCTTATTCCAAGGCAAGAAATTAGCAATTCTACAGTATATAATTTAAAGACAAGAAAAATAAAAGATACAAAGTTCATAAAATCTCAGCAACAAGAAACAGAATAATGCCTACTTTTGAAAAAATAAGCATGAATCCTTACATATGATTCATACTCTAGATAGCTGGGCAAAAACGTTCACATGATGTATGTGCTTATTTGCCATTTAGCAAGGAAAGGACCATTTTACCCCACATGGAAATTACAGAAATGTTGCAATTAATCACCAAGGAAGATGTGTCTGGTGATAATGTGAGACAGGGGCTTCTTTATAGCAGCACCCCAGGAGTGGAAGAAGTTTATAGCTTTTAAGGAAACTAAAATTCATCAGATTTTTAAGTTTATTTGCAAACTTGGTTGGTAATTGCTTTACTGTTATTGATTGGGATATTTCTTCTTATTGTGAACTGCCAGTGAGCTCCTTATGGGAGAAAAGGTTAAAATTTTTGTACATTATTAAAAAAACCTCTGACTTTCCACAGCCTTTATGGATATTAATTCACCGTTTGGAATTATGAAGAGGCTCTACTATTATCCTTTCAATATAAATTCCCTTTTTATGACTCTGCAACCCTATTGGATGAAGCTGAACATTTACTGGCTGGATGCCTTTCCTGACACCATACGGAGGTCAGATAGTTTTCTTTGCGCCCTAGGAGAGAAACATCTGCTGCTACCTAGGATTGAATTTTCAACTTTCCAAAAGGGAGGTGAGTATCTTTACCACTAGGCCGCCAAGCTGCATTTACTATTATTCTTGCAATATGCATGGCTAAATGAGCTAAAGATAATGAGTTAAAGAGCTAAAGATGAGCAGAGTAACAGAAAAATAGAGCTAAAGATAAGCAGAGTTATCCCTGCAAAAATAGGGAGGAATAAGAAGCCCTTTCACTTCATACCTCCAGTCATGGTGTGGAAGACAGCTGTGCTGATCTGGGAGAGATAGGTGGTATTTGATGAAAGCGGGCGCATCTCATTGAAGGTGTCAGCACTGTATACATGATCTGTACCAAACTCTTTGATAAGCTCTTTTAGAAAGAGAGTCCCTATAACCTGAAACATGGGGTCTTCAGGTGACAAGAGGTAAGCACATGAATAGGTGCAATCAAAATGGCTCCAGTTCCCCAGCTGTGTGGCATTGACCTGTGGAAAAACTCTAACATGGAAAAAACAAACATTGTGAAACAGATTACAATGTCAACTCCAAATTCATTGGGTTGTGTGCTAAGTGCTACAAATTTCTGCCAGCAGATTTTTAGACTCAAGCAAAGAGAATACTCAATGATTGTTATGGCAGGAATCAAGAATATTAGAAAATGTCAAAGCAAGAAATACATTCAAGATTATGTGTCCCTGTTGTATCTTCTCCACTGACCTTTGGACTTAGATGTTAAGAGGTCTGGCTAATAATAAAGGAAAATATATTCTGCTTGGGTTCAAAGCACTTCACAGAACTATTACTTAAAACACATTCTGAATTTCCCCCCAAGGAGTTTTTCTCTTATTTCAGCACTGACTTTCACATGAATAGTCCCCTCAACAGTTCTCATGCCTTCCCCCCACCAAAAGTCCTACATCCTCTAGTCTTAACTCCTCACTTAACTCCTCACTTTTTGGGCCAGTCTGTGTTGTAGCCTGTCAGCGGCCTGTGCAGCTAGTAGCCGATTCTGACAGCGAGGAGGCTGGTGTGGTGCTGCGCCAGCAGCCTGTACAGCTGGCACTTGAGTCAGACAATGATGAGGCTGGAGAAGATGTGGTGCCAGAGGCGGGGATTCAACCAGGGCCTTCAGAACTTCCAGAAGCTCCCATAAGTGAAGAGGAAGAAGAGGAGCCTCTTCTCGATGCACGGGCACACAGAGCTGCCAAAAGGCAGGAGGGACTCCTCAGGAGGAGGTCTCCTCGAGAGTAAGGCTTGGGGCTAATTGGCCACTCCCTTAGCCTATTTAAGGAAGGATGACAACTGAGGCAATTTGCAGGGAACAACTTCACTCTCCTTCGCGTCTTGACCTTAGTTCTCTTATCAGTTTCCTGCAAATTGCTTCTGGGCTTTCTGCCAACCATAGTAAGATTACGATTATTTATTCTTTGGATTCTTGTAGTTAATTAACAGCCTTTGTTTGAAAAAGACTGATTTAATTTAGTAAACTAAAGTTTGTACAGACTTTGTGTGTGCTGCGTTCTTTGGGGTCCGTAGCTGGGGCAGAACAGTCTGTCATTCATCCCTTGCAGAAAGACCATTGTCCCAGGTTTCCTCTCCACAAAGTCTGAAAATCTTGGGGTCTGCTGCCAGTGAGTACAGATAGTCCTTGACTTACAACAGTTCACTTAGTGACAATTTAGTTACAATAGCACTGAAAAAAGTGATGAATGACCATTTTTCACAGTTACAACATCCCCATAACCATGTGATCAAAATTCAGATGCTTGACAACTGACTCATATTTATGACCATTGCTGTGCCCCAGGGTCACATGATCTCCTTTTGCGACCTTCTGAAAAGCAAAGTCAATGGGGAAACCAGATGCACTTAACAACCGGGTTACTAACTTATCCACTGCAAGTGGTTCACTTAACAACCATGGCAAGAAAGGTTGAAAATGGGCCAAAACTCACTTAAGAAATGTCTCACTTAATAATAGAAATGTTGGGCTCCACTGTAGTCATAAGTCGAGGACTACCTATATAGGTCAGTCTTTCCGAGTGTATGCCTTCCAGCTTTATTAGGCCAATGACCAGAGTGGCTGGGGACTGATGGAATTATTTTTTAAAAAGACTATAGACCAGTATTTGTTAACCTTGGCAACTTTAAAATAAATGGACTTCCAGGATTCTGAAATTGGAAGTTCATACATCTTGAAATTGCCAAGGTTGAGAAATAATGATGCAGACAATGCTTGGCCAAATGGAAAATAGTCCGTCCTGGCATGAGGTAATTTCTTATATGCTCAACCAAACTCATTTTGTTCTTTTACCTTAGAATGCCTTGCGGGATATGACCAGAGAATGCGGGAAGCACTGTCAACATACCCAGAGATCTCATCCTCTCTAGGATCCTGTACTGGGAAGGTAAAAGAGTCAGGATGGAGCAATAAAGCAAAGCCACAGAATAATCCACAATGTGCCCCGCCATCCCCATAAAATTGGTCCAGAAGAAGGCCCATTTCTGGAAAAAGCTGTGCATTCTGTGGGCACAGAATGTGCAACCTGTATATGAGGTTTATGACCTAACTTTCTGATAATTCCTGTTTTACTCAAAATTGTGGTGTGTAATAAAGGTGAGATACATAAATAAAAATGGAGCTAAAAAAGACTCTGTTCTTCATTTCCAGAATTTTCAATAATATTGGGCTGCAATTCATTATAAAAGCTCCCATAACATCCTCAAAAAAAAAAAGAGAAATAACCCTGATTTATTAAATCAGCTGATAAACCTTGCATGCTGGTTGGGAACCCATACTTGACCAATTGTGATGCTTGACGGTCACAGACAAGTCAATATTTTCTATATTGATGATACAATACAAGAACCAATCTCCATGTCAGCCAATTTGAGTTAAGAGGAGGAAGAATAAGAGTGCAATATTCCAAGCACCAAAAATGCCCATGAATTGATTTCAGAAACTATGAGACTGGTTACGGTCAGTTTACCAGAATAATAGTACTGTTAATTTTGGCATCTTTAATATAAAGAATGGACATCCTTGTGTCTTTTAAAATGACACTAGGAAAGGCTCTTGCCAGACAAAAGCAGGATTGTAATTTTCAGAAAATCCAGGTGCTGTACACCAGTGGTCCCCAACCCCCGGTCCGCGGACCGGTGCCGGGCCGTGGAGTACCTGGCACCGGGCCGCGCAGCGGCCGGGGGACATGAACGCTGCAGCGCAAAGGCTCCTGGGCCGTGCGCAATGGGCCGTGCGCAAAAGCTCCTGGGCCGTGCCCCCACCCCTGCGCGCGCTCAGCGGGCCGCGGCGATAAAAAGGTTGGGGACCACTGCTGTACACCACGTTTCCCCCTGCATTACGTCACTATGAACATCTCCTCTAATTGTTTCCTGAAACATAGACTAAAAAACACAGGGTTAGATTACCTGGTTCACTTTCACAGCTTTAAAACTCAGTGGGGGCAGATAAGCCCATATTTGCCTACAAAAGGCATGAAAGAAAATATGACAGAAGACGGAAGGCACCCTACTGCCAGAAACCATATCAGCCAGCCTAGGTACCTGTAAATTTAGTTTTTTCTGATGCCAGGAGAAGGGCAATGGTCCTGCCCAAGAGTGCAAATTCCCCATCCGGTTCCAAGCTAGGAAAGCAGGGCCAGTGAAGTACTCATCAATTTCTGATTGCTTTAGACCCAACGACAAATACACCTGTAAGAACAATAGTAGAGTATGAGAGTTGCTCTGGAGAAGATCCTGGTTTTAAATATTGTTACAGCCACAATAATATGCTTAATAACACATACACGCTGCCAGATGGCTTCCTGCCCGGTGAATGCCAGTGCCATGTTAATACCATGGAGTGCCATCCAATCAATCTCCTGTTCCCAGCGGTCCCAGTTCCACCACACGAAGGAATAGCTGTAAGTGCAGACATTTTGATAGAAGCGGAACCTAAGGAGAAAAATACAATAAATATATTAACAATAAATTAAATGTAGGTAATGAAATTATTCTTCACACATTTTTAATTTTTTAATTATCAAATTTCTATACTGCATATCACACTTGAATTACTCTCATTGTAATAGCAATAGCACTTAGACTTATATACCGCTTCACATGATTTACAGTCCTCTCTAAGCGGTTTACAGGGTCAGCCTATTGCCCCCAACAATCTCAGTTGTCATTTTACCGACCTTGGAAGGATGGAAGGCTAAGTCAAGTTGAGCCGGTGAGAATTGAACTGCTGGCAGTTGGTAGAATTAGCCTGCAATATTGCATTCTAACCACTGTGTCACCACGGAATAAGAAATTTCCTCTTCTATCACATTAAAAATGATAATTTGGAAGAATTGACTACAACTAAATAGTACCTACCCAATTTTGACTGATTATGAAAAGTTTTCATAGCATCAGACAGAGTTAGTATTTCGGCTGGTGCTCACCAGGAAATCACAGGATTCTGAGCTACACTGGGTTATTTGGGGACAAAAACCTTGGAAGAATATATTAACCAACCATTTACGTAGTTTTGGGGGAAAAAGAAAGAAAAAACATATGCGTATAATCAAGAAGAGTCAAAATGAACTGAATCTTTATCTGTTTACTTGGGAAAGTCATTCAATGTGGTAACCAGATCACATGAACCAGAGATTAGCCTGTCCTTGTTATCACTGCACTCTAGCTACATTTGATTTGCATGGCCTGGTAAACCTAGTATGATCTGTGACAGTATATCTCCAGCCAATCAGGGGCATCATGAATGAGGAGTGAATTGTTAGTTATTTCATGTGTAGTCCTTGACTTACAACCATTCACTTAGTGACGGTTTGAAGTTACAACAGCACTGAAAAAAGTGACTTATGACCATTTTACACATTTATGACTTTTGCATCCCCCATCCCCGTGGTCATGTGATTTATATTCAAATGCTTGATAACTGAGTCATATGACTGTTGCAGTGTCATGTGACCAACTTTTGTGACCTTCTGACAAGCAAAGTCAATGGGGACACCAGATTCACTTAACAACTGGGTTACTAATTTAACAACTGCAGTGATTCACTTAACAAATCTGGCAAGAAAAGTTGTAAAATGGGGCAAAACTCACTTAACAAATTTCTCACTTAGCAACATAAATTCTGGATTCAATTGTGGTCATAAATCGAGGACTACCTGTATTATTACTTTGATTGTCACAAAACAGAGGGCACCTTGAGATCTGTGAAATGAGTAAAGAAGAGTTAAGTGGTTATTTAACATATTTACACAAAGCTTATCTCATGAACTCATATCTGGCTCGGGGTCATTCATGCTTTGGCCACTTCCAACTGGATGACTGCAACATGTTTTACACGGGGCTGTCCTTGAAGACCACCATAAGTTACAACTAGTCTAAATTGTTGCAGCTCTCACAACATTGGACATATCTTAGTTTCTTCATATTACAGCTTTGCTGCCATGAGCCACACTGGCTCCCAGTTTCTTTCAGAGCATAATTCAAGGTGGCACTCATTATCTTTACTGCCACGGTATTAGTGGGACCACCCTTCCCTAAGCAGTGGTGAAATCCAATTTTTTTTTAGTACTGGTTCTGTGAGCGTGGCTTGGTGGGTGTGGCAGGGGAAGGATACTGCAAAATCCCCATTCCCTCCCCACTCCTGGGGGAAGGATATTACAAAATCTCCATTCCCACCCAATTCTGGGGCCAGCCAGAGGTGCTATTTGCCACTTCTCCGAACTACTCAAAATTTCCTCTACCGGTTCTCCGAACTGCTCAAAATTTCCGCTACCGGTTCTCCGAACTGCTCAAAATTTCCGCTACCGGTTCTTCAGAACCTATCAGAACCTGCTGGATTTCACTCCTGTCCCTAAAGGTACTTGCCCATTAGTAGATTAGATAAAGGGAGTATTCTTTAAGTCCATTCTCTTGAATACTGCCACCTAGAGGGACCTAGGAAGCATGGCTTTTCTGTAGTAAAATAAAAACAATTACAGATAGTCCTCGACTTACATCCACCATTGACCTAGAATATAGGTTGCTAAGTGAGAAATTTAAGTGAGTATTGGCCCATTTTACGTCTTTTTTTGCCACGTTTGTTAAGTGAATCACTGCCGTTCCTAAATTTGTAATATGATTGTTAAATGAATCTGGTTTCCACATTGACTTTGCTTGTCAGGTCTCAAAACATGATCACATGATCCTGGGACACTGCCACCGTCATAACTATGAACCTGTTTAATATAAGTCACATGTCCATGGGGATGCTGCAACGGTCATAAGTGTGACAAATGGTTATAAGTCACTTTTTTCAGTGCCGTTGTAACTTCGATCACTAAATGAACTGTTATAAGTCGAGGACTACCTGTATAATCCTCAACTTAAAACCACAACCAAGTCCAAAATTTCCATTGGCAAGCAAAGCAGTTGTTAAGTGACTTTTGCCTCACTTTATGATGTTTCTTTTGCCACAAAGAAGCTAATCACTGCAGTTGTTAAGTGAATCACGCAGTTGTTAAGTGAATCTGGTTTTCCCCATTGACTTTGCTTGTCAGAAGCTGGCAGGGAAGGTTACAAGTGGTGATCATGTGACCTTAGACAGTACCCAAATTTTGATCACATGACTATGGGGAGGCTGCAACAGTCGTTAAGTATGAAAACTGGCCATAAGTCATTTTTCATCTGCCATTGTACCTTTGAATGGTCATAAATGAATGGCTGTAAGTTGAGGACTACCTGTATGACTCAAGTTCATTGGGAAAATTTCTGTTGCTAAGCAAGACAGTTGTTAAGTGTGTTTTGCCCCATTTTACGATCTTTCTTGCCACAGTTAAGTGAATCACTACAGTTATGAAGTTAGTAACAAGGTTGTTAAGTGAATCCGCCTCCCCCATTGACTTTGTCAGGTCGCAAAAGATGGGTGAGGTAACTTTGGACACTGCAATAGTCATAATAAATACATGCCAGTTGCCAAGGGTCCAAATTTTAATTACGTGATCATGGGGGGCAGTCCTAAGTGTGAGAAAAGTCACTGTGTCATTTTTTTGAGTGTTGTTGTAACTTCAGTCCCTAAACCAGCGATTGTAAACCGAGGACTACCCCTACACGGTTGGGACTTGAAGGGAACCAGTTTGCCTTAAAACTACTATTGGACAATAGGGAGTTTTCAATAAGTCCCAGATACAGCTTTTATGTCAAACATTCTGCGAATTTCATTTCAGCACCTCAAAAGTTTCAATCAGTTGGCAGACCGGTGAATCTTATCTGAAGCGAAACTCGGGTTTTCCGGGCCCGCCTTTATTAAGATGCCTCCCCATATTTTCAAGGCGAAGCCGGATACGCCCCTGCTTCGCATATGGAGGTTAAGAGGGGGACCCTTTGCCTTCCTTGCGATGTCGAATCACCTGTTGGGGCTGGTGACGATAATCTCTGCGGAGACAGGGGGCAAACTCTGCGGCAGTCGGAGCTGCCTCCCAGACCAGGACACGTGGCAGCCGCAGAAGTCCTTCAGGTAATGGTAGATTCCCGAGGCGGCGGCCACTCCGCTTGAGCCAGAGACGTTTATCGTGCCCGGCTTCTCCGAGCTCAGCCGGTACGTGTCGAGACCGCCAGGCCCGGCCAAAGACCGGTTCACGGATACCGCGAAGGCAGAAGCTGCCCTCGGCCCCAGAAGTCGCTCCAGGAGTTTCCGCACCGCTGTGGCCTGACGGGTTTCCTCCGCCTCCGGCTGCAAGCGAGCCATCGCTTCCCATTGCCACCAAGGCCGGGAATTAGCAGCGGCTGCGGCAGTCGCTACGGCCGCCCAAAGCAAAAGCAACAGCGGACGCGACATAGAAAGGGACCCCGACGGGAAGCTTACAAGGCGGAGAAGTTCCGGGGAGCGATCTCTCCCGAGCACGTTGGCCAATGGTTGCCGCAGCTCCCTTGCAGGCCAATTGCTTCCCTTGCCACCCTTCTACGACAATCACGGGAGCCGCTGCTGGGTGGGAAAATCCCAGGCTCCTTTGATTCGCGCGCCTTCTATACAATTCTCTTGGGTTAAACTTGATTTTGGGGTGTGTTGTGTAGAAACGGAGAGGGGAGGCCTGTGCGGAGTGACATGCCTACCAAAACTTTCAACGGAAGCCATAGAAATTTAAAATCGAAAGCTATCCCAAAGTTAATTTAATCCAGCCCACTACAAAGGGCAGAAAAGCTAATTAAATTCACCCAGCAGAAGTGGCTCTTCAACCTGTCTTTAAAAGCTTCCTAAAGCCCGGAAAATTCGAAGTCACAATTTAAATCAAGTGCTTTTCTTGCTTCTAAGTAATCAGAATGTAGAATAAAAAAAATGTTTTTAAATCAAGAGGATGACCTCTAAATATTCTTAGTATTGCTTTTCTTCAGTCACGAAAATTTTTGACAAAATGATATTGGACGTTAAGATGGCAAGTTTGATACAAGCTCAGTGTTACCCGCCCCCCCCCTCCTTTTTTCCTTCTGGTTATTTTATTACACAACTCCATAGAAATTTTTGTTTGAAACCTAAGGAAGTATTCTGAAATATAGTCATGGAATTGCTGAAGGACACATTCATAGAAAAAAAAATCCATTTCACAAGATGAAAAGGCTAGTATGAACCAGGGGTGAAATCCAGCAGGTTCTGACAGGTTCTGGAGAACCGGTAGCGGAAATTTTGAGTAGTTCGGAGAATCGGTAAATGCCACCTCTGGTGGCTGGCCCAAGAGTGGGGTGGGAATGCAATATCCTTCCCCTGGAGTGGGGTGGGAATGGGGATTTTGCAGTATCCTTCCCCTGCCACGCCTACCAAGCCACGCCCACAGAACCGATAGTAAAAAAAATTTGGATTTCATCACTGGTATGAACAAGTTACAAGGATGCTTTGCCCCATGCCACTTTCTGGTCCCATAAAGGTAAAGGTTCCCCTGCACACGCGTACTAGTTAGATTCCAGCTCTAGGGGCAGTGCTCATCTTAGTTTCTAAGCTGAAGAGCCAGCGCTGTCCGAAGACATCTCCGTGGTCATGTGGCTGGCATGACTAAACGCCGAAGGCGCACAGAGTGCTGTTACCTTCCCACTAAAGTGGTCCCTATTTTTCTACTTGTATTTTTTGTGTGCGTTTGAACTAGGTTGGCAGAAGCTGGGACAAGTAATGGGAGCTCACTCAGTTACGCGGCACTAGGGATTTGAACTGCTGAACCGCCTTCTGACAAACTCAGCATCTTAACCACTGAGCCACTCACCACCTCTGGTTGCATAGGAATGTCTATAATAGCAATATTTTCACCACCCAGTTATTTGAGTTCCTTTTCTCTCCCCATGGAGAGAACTGCCCTATTGTAGAATTTTAAGTTCTCAATTCATGCAATGATAACGAAAGAGATAACTAAAATAAAAGAGCTATTTATAAAGATAACAATACTGTATAACATGTCAACTACGCAGAGAACTGTTCTTGTGAAGAGCTGCCTGCTTCAACTGATATACTTTGATCATCCGCACTCCTTCAGGGCCAGGCGCTACTTTTTTCAAACATGAGGTGAGAGACATCAAAGAAGCAGTTAGATAATACATAGCACCACCTCTTTCTAGTAATGGCAGTAGCTCCAGTGGTAGAAATTGTCCAACTGCTAAGCCATAGATGTTGCTACTTCTGGTCTTTAAGAATTATTTTATTTTATTTTATTAAATTTATATACCGCCCTACTCCTGAAGGACTCAGGGCAGTGAACAGCCAAAAAATAAAACACATAGATTACAAAATTTAAAAGACAGTATAAAATCACATTAAATAATTTGGCCGGGGACAAATTAAAACACCCCCAATACTTAAGACAAATTTAAAATTTACAATTTAAAAAGTAAAAAGGGAAAAGTTAGGCCAGGCCAGCCTGTTGAAATAAAAAAGTCTTGAGGGTGCGGCGGAAGGTGCGTAGATCCAGGATCCTGTGTGTCTCTGGGGGGAGCTCATTCCAGATAGCAGATAGCACAGAGAAGGCTCTCCCCCTGGGAGCCGCCAGTCGACACTGTTTGGCCGATGGCACCCGGAGAAGCCCCTCTCTATGAGAGCGTACCGGCCGGTGGGAGGCTATTGGTGGTAGTAGGCAGTCCCGCAAGTACCCAGGGCCTGAGCCATGGAGTGCTCTAAAGGTGGTAACCAAAACCTTGAAGCCACCCGGAAGACCACCGGGAGCCAGTGCAGCTCGCGCAGGAGAACTGTTACATGGGAACGCCAGGTTCCCGCGCGGCTGCACTCTGCACCAGTTGGAGCCTCCGGGTGCTCCTCAAGGGGAGCTCCATGTAGAGAGCATTGTAGTAGTCCAGGCGGGAAGTGACGAGGGCATGAGTGACCGTGCATAAGGAGCCCCGATCTAGAAAGGGACGCAACTGGCGGATCAGGCGAACCTGATGAAAAGTCCTCCCGTTCTCAGCCGTCAAGTACTCTTCTAAAGACAGCCGTGAATCCAGGACACCCAAGTTGCGAGCCCTCTCCATGGGGGCTAATGACTCGCCCCCAGTAGTCAGTGATGGCACCAACTGACTATATCGGGACTTAATCTTAGTGTTATGTCTGTATCATGTATTCATGTACATAGGAACTACTCCATTCTATGTGCAGGGAACACAATTTCTATACTGAACTAAAACAGTCTCAGATATTTTTAGTGTATATCTTCCATATTATCTATTGATGTTCAATTTAAAACAAAAATGAACACTTCAATCACAAATTTTTATCAAAAAAGGAAATATTCATTTCTAGTCCTATTTCAGATTCACTTTTATCTGAAAAGTTTGGAAGGGGTGAACAACCAAAACAGACAAACCAACATCTCCAGTAATTAAGGGCATAATTAATAGAAGTAAGTATATATAATAAATGTATATGCTTAATCTAAGCAGATAACAGAATTCTGTTTTCTTCATATAAAATATGCAAATAATTCTAAGGACTTTTTGAACACTGTATCCTACAATATGTGAAAGGCAGGACAGGAAAAGTGGAGCATAATAATCATTTAGAAAGATCCTTAATTGTGAAAGCTCAATAGGTGCCAATCCAACAAGGTGACCAAACTATGAAACCAATAGAATAACATAATAACAAAATTGGAAGGGACCTTGCAGGTCTTCTAGTCCAACCCCTTGTTCAAACAGAAAACCCATTTCAGACAAACAGTTGTCCAGTCACTTTTTATAAGCCTCCAGTGATGGAGCACCCACAACTTCTGAAGGCAAGCTGTTCCACTGGTTTATTGTTCTCACGCCCAGGAAATTTCTTAGGTTGCTTCTCTCCTTGGTTAGTTTCCAACCATTCTTGTCTTGCTTTCAAAAATAAGTTGACCCACCTCTAATACTGGAATACTTGTCATGTCACCCCTAGTCCTTCTTTTCACCAGACTAGACAAACCCAATTCCTGCAACCGTTCATGTTTTAGCCTCCATCCCCCTAATTATCTTTGTTGCTCTTCTCTGCACTCTTTCCAGAATCTCAATATATTTTTTATAATGTGGTGACCACATACTTTTGTAGTATTGTATACTGCAGTATGCAGTATTCCAAAAGGTCAGGACTTTTATTGTAACAATTATCCTATCCCATCCATCCCATCCTATCCCCCTTGCAAATCTGAATATGTTTTCCCCTCCCTCACTTTATCTTTGTGTGAACTAGGGAGGAGATTGAAACTTTTCTCAAAATTTTCTTGGCTAGTCTTGGCTCTGCTTATCTGACCACTGCCTTTCTTGAAGCTTTTTCTCCTGTCCCTCAAGGCCATTCCCTATTCATTTTACATTAGGTACCATGGGCCAGTTGTTATCTTTGTACCAATTACTTCCCAGGATTGTTGAGGAAAATTGGAATGTTGTACATACAGATATGATATCTTGGAAGAAAAACTGGATATAAATCTAAGAAGCAAATAAATATAAGTATCTTATGAAACACAAGAGAAGGGTAAAAGGGTAATGTTTTTAATTCTTAAATGTTTTTTATAATGATTTTAAATGCATTGTGAGCCGCCCTGTGTCTTCGGAGAGGGGCGGCATACAAATTGAATTAATAAATAATAAATAAATAAATAGAAGTTGATCTTCGAGGAAGTGGTGATTTGATTTAATTTTGCTTAAGATGAGAAGGTCCTGCTTCATAAACAGAATGGGAAACTCCCTGTTTGGGGACCAATGGTTGTCCTGAAGTAGAAAGTGCATCAGGATAAATCACAAATCCTGCTCCCCAAAATCAAAGAGCTACTAAAAGTATTTAAACCAGTTACTAAGCCAACTACTAATAGTAGTAACAATAACGTAAATATTTCTTAAAATTGGAATAAGCATGAAAGAAAAGAACACACTTTCTTTGCTTAGACATGTCCTATATTTTTATTTCATGTATTAAAAATGGAATGGCAATACTATTGGAAGGCCAGAATGGCAGAATCAGGTCCTGCAATTGTACAACTCAAGCACAAAAGTGGTGGACATAAGGCAACAGGAGAGAAAAGGTGGGTGGTTAACCGTTGAAAAGCTTTCCTCTCCCCTCCCCTCCCCTCCCCCTATGATTACTGAAAGAAGCACACAAAGCAATTCTTTTTCTTATGAAAGGAAGGAAAAGGAAGGAGGTGCATGTGCTGAAGATGGAATAGAAGAAAACATTTGATTTAATCTCCATGGCAACTTCTTCGGCGTCTATGGCTGAAACAAAATGTTCAACATTGACAGAAGCACTTGGATAATTGTGAACAAGATGTTATATATTGTGCTGCTCTTACCAAATTACAACTTTTAGAGCAAGTATTTAGTGATTTCCAGCTGCAAAGGCAATTCACAAAACAGGAAACAAAGTAAGTGATAATTGAATGAGAGTCATTTGTACACTGCCTTTGCTCA